TTCCTGCGCTGAGATGCTCCCAGACCAAGGGAAGACTGATGACAAGGACCTTCCTTCAGAGCTGACAGAGACAGAAAGCTTTTCCCTGGAGCCAGCGCCCTGAATTCAGGCTTCTAGGCTACTGGATGTGAGAGAATAAATTTCTCTTTGTTAAAGACATCCACTTGTGGTATTTCTGTTATAGCAGCCCTAGATGACTAAGACACCATGTTTTTTGCCCTGTGGCAGATGGAAGTCAAAGTTAAGGGCACTCCATCAACCACACTGCACACCCTGGCAACTCCCAGGGTCTGATTGTTGGTACTCATTACCTCTCTACCTTCTTCAAGCACAACACCTGTAAGTCTAGACCTAGAATCACTCTAGGGGCTGGGGAACTAAGTGGTGGTTGGCAACAGGTTAGAGCTGTGTGACCAGACCAGGGTACACAGGCTTTCTGGAGCATGCTAATAATACTTTAATTCTCCACTGCAGGACAATGACAGAAATTCAGAGTTCAGCCACTGAAATAGGACGATGCTACAGTTATCAATAACCTCTCCGGTCAGCACTTGGAGTAGGTGATGCTGTGTGCAGCTGCAAAGTAGCTCTAGACCCATGGTTCTCACACTTGGGTGTCCATCAGAATCACCTGGAGCACTTGTTAACATAGATTGCTGTACATAGCTACCGAGAAACTCCAGTATTTTTCTTATGGCTCTCAAACTTTAATGTACGTGAATCACCTGGAGATTTTCTTTAAAATGCCTATTCTCAGACTCTACTTCTGGAGATTCTGATTCAGTGGTTAAGGCCCAGGAATTTGCATGGTTTTGTTTTTTTACAACCACTATCCCTTGTGATTTAGACACAGATTGACTTTTGGTGACATTTTGGGAAACACTACTCTACAACTGGTCCCTGAACTGTGGCAGCTCTCTCCTCATTTCTAGGGTGGTTAGGTTGTCACTGCTCTTCTTATATGGTGAACGTGAAGGGCATCCAAAAAGAAAATGGTTTAGGCTCCTCTGGGAGCAGGCAATCCTAACCTCACAATTGAGAACCGGGGTTTAGTATTCTATTTCTAAGCTGAAAATAGTTTCCCTCAGCAATTACATTTCTTCAACTGCTGGCTAACTGCAGCAGAAAAGCAAGGGGGGCAGCCTGGTAGAGCAGTAAGAGCTCTCCCTTCCATCTGTATTGTTCAAGGACACTCTCTCCCGGTGGCTGCCTTGGTTTAGGGAACTCTAAGGAGGCTAATCTCACCTAGGTACCTGAGGAAGCCTTTGGGTGAAGTTCAGCAGACCTTTCCCACCGAGTAAAGTCAAAAGGAGCCCTGGTGATGCAAACAGTTTTAAGTGTTTGACTGCTAACCCAAAGGCTGGTGGTTCGAACCCACCCAGCACCTCTGTGGGAGAAAGACATCTCGATCTGGTCCCATAGAGATTATAGCCTAGAAAACCTTATGAGGCAGTTTCTACCTACCTATATCAGGAACCATCAACCTACTACTGTAGGCATATGTTGGCAAAGACTATAAGAAAGTAACTATACCCTCTACCTGTGCCAACAAACACAAAAGCTTCCAAGAACTTCTTTA